CCTACACTGCATGTTCCAGACATTGTTCCAGCTTTGGGGACAGAATGATGAACATGATGCACCGAGTCTCGGCTCTCACAAAGCTTAAAACCAACTGCACGAGAAACAAAAGATAGACAAGGAAATATTAGGTAGTATTAAGTGCTATAAAATGTGGTGTGAGAAGAAAACGACCATTTCGGGGCCAGCAGGTGTCATAGTGGTTGAGATGCTGGACTCCCTCATGGCCCACTGCAATTCAAGTTCCAGACCTATCGGCTTGTTTTCTCACTTTTTTTCTTTCTCTTTCTCTTTCTCTCTCTGTCTTTAGTGAGCACATGTGTCCTATAGTAAATTAATATTATAATAAATCAAATTAAATATATTTTTAAAAACGAATGACCAATTTAGGGCCAGCAAGTGGCATGGTGGTTCAGACACTGGAATTCCATTTGGTCAACCATGTTTTGAGTCCCAGACCTGTTGGCTTAACAAATCACAACAAATAAATGGATAAACAAATATTTTTTAAATAGCCATTTTAAATTAATGGTACTTACTCTTAGAGAATGCCTCACTTAAACTGAGCTCTGAATGACAATAAGAAACTACCTATCTATCAGAAACTTCCGAAAGAAGAATCCACCAAGGCTAAAGGACTAAAATATAAATAAATTTGGTAAATTCTGGGGGCAGGGGAGGGGGCAGTTAGCTAAAGCTGAAGTCTAAGTGGATGGCAGAAGTCAGGCCACATAAAGGAGTCTGGGCTAATTCTAAGTGTCTGAAGATATTTAAACTGGGGCATGATATGATTTTGAGTTGTTTCTAAAAGATATCCCTGGCTGTGGAGAATGGGTTGGACTTTTATGGAGCAGAGGCAAGAGGAGAAGCAGGGAAATCAACTAGCAGCTAGGAGACTTACTGACAGTCCAAGTGAGAGATGAGCATGGCCTTAATAAAAAAGTAGAGAATGAAGTAGAGAATTCAGGATTGTGCGAGAGAGAGAAAAAGCATCCCCCAATGGGTCCAGTCACTTCAATTCTTTTTTCTCCAGTTCTCCATACCATCAGGAACCTGGGCACATGGAAGTTGGGACCAGTGTGTATTTCAAGCCAAAGGGTCTGGATGGAAACTCAAACCTTGGTGGACCCTGTGTGATCTGACTTCCTTCTGCACAGCACCTAACATGGCCAGGCCAATTCAAAGTATGTTTTTTGTTTTGTTTTGTTTTGTTTTGTTTTGTTTTGTTTTGTTTTTATATAGGCTGTGTGTATTCACTGGAGAGAGACACAAAGAGAGGGAAAGGGAGAAATTATACCCCAGGGGAAGGCCACACCACAATTCCTTTTCCATTCTCCTCTTGGGATTTTGGGCATGCTTGCGCATGTGCTGGTGTGACTTTTCAAGCTGTGTGGGATTCAGATACCCGTAAGCCATGTGAAAGTCCAACACTTTAACCACCATGCTGCAACCTGCTGGCCCTCGAGGTTTTGTTTTTTTGTTTTGTTTTGTTTTTGAGAGATTTTTGCTATAGGGTGCGTGCACTTGCTAGACAGAGAGAGACAGAGAGACAAAAAGTGAGAAATCACCCCTCAGGGGGAATGGCCACACCACAATCCCTTCTCCATTCTCCTCTCAGGATCTTGGGCACGCACGCACATGCACCCAGCATGAGTTTAAGTCGCCAGGTCCGGGACTCAAACTGTGGTCGGCTACATGGGAATCCAGCGACATAGCCATTACGCTAACTGCTGGTCCCTCGAAGTATGTTTTGAAGCTGAAGTCAAGTGGACTTACTGAAAAACTAGGTGTGGGAGGTGAGGGAGGGAAGAGAGGAAGGAAAGTAATATGGATTAAATGTCTTCTAAAAATTCATGTGTTGATATTTGGTTGTGACAAGGGGTAAAAACTTAATCAGACTATGATGTTGAAAGGTGGGGCATTGAGACCAGCAGGTGGTATGGTAGTTAGGGTGCTGGACTCCCACATGGCTGGCTACTGTTTGAGTCCCAGACCTGGTGGCTTGCTTTCTCACTTTCCCTCTCTCTCTCTAATAAGTGCACATGCCTTATAGCAAATTTTAAAATAATAATAAATAAAATAAAATAAATAATTATCTTGGGGCCAGCAGATGGTCTAGTGGTTAAGGACACTGCACTCCCACATGGCTGACCATGGTTCAAGTCCCAGACCTGGCAGCTTGCTTTCTCACTTTCCCTCCCTCTTTCTCTCTCACTCTATCACTCTCTGGTCAAATTAAAATAAATAAATAAAGTTAAACTAAAAAGAATTTTTTAAAAAGAATTATTGTATTGGGAACCAGCAGTTAGCATAATGGCTATGTCGCTGGACTCCCACATAGTCGACCGCGGTTCGTGTCCCGGACCTGGTGGCTTAAAACTCACGCCGGGCACGTGTGCGTGCGTGCCCAAGATCCCGAGAGGAAAATGGAGAAGGGATTGCGGCGTGACCATCCCCCCTGGGGGGTGATTTCTCGCTTTCTGTCTCTATGTCTCTCTCTGTCTGTCTGGTGAGCACACGCGCCCTACAGTGAAAATCTCTCAAAAAAAAAAAAATTATTATTATTGGGACCAGGGGATGGTGGAGTAGTTATGTCGCTGTACTCCCACGTGGTCAACCACTGTTTGAGTTCCAGACTCGGCAGCTTAAAACTTACACCAGAGGAACCAGCAGTAGTGTAATGGCTATGTCGCTGAACTCCCATGTCATCAACTGCGGTTTGAGTCCCGGACCCAGTGGCTTAAACTCACGCCGGGCGTGTGTGCGTGCATGCCCAAGATCCTGAGAGGAGAATGGAGGAGAAGGGATTGTGGTGTGGCCATCCACCCTGG